ACTGCATACGGTCATATGAGCGCCAGAAGATTAGAGGTGTTACAAGAGAGTAACAAACATAAAAAAGAAGTAGGAAAGATAACGACGATAGTCGATAGATGTTTGATAGGAAAGCAAAAGCAAACCACACCAGAGCACCCGCCAACCACCCTGCAGGTGTACTGTGGCTGGGGCAAATTTTCAATAGAGCCGAGGAGCAAAGAAACTGCCAAGAAGACTGGCAGAAAGCCATCGTGGTCCCATTGTGGAAAAAGAAAGGCAAACAAAAACGCGACTGCACAACGTAAAGAGGCATCTGTTTATTACTAAGCCACGCCGGAAAAATATACACAAATCTACTAGAACAGCGGATAAGACCTATTGTAGAGAGAAATATGAGCAAAGCTCAGTTTGGATTCTGAAAGGGAAGAGGGTGCACGGATGCTGTATTCGCATTAAACAGATATGCGAGAAAACAATCAAACACAACAATGAATCCAACATCGTCTTTATAGACCTGGAGAAGGGTTTTGACAGAGTAAACCATGCAAAACTCTGGAAGACACTTGAAAAGTATAGCGCCAGAGGACAAATGCTAGATAATGTCAGAGCTCTCTAAACCAATAGCAGAAGCTCAGTAAGAACGAAGGAAGGCAGTACAGACTCGTTCAAAGTAAAAATCTGGAGTATGACAGTGATGTGTTCTATCTCCCCTCCTGTTTATAATATATGGACACAATAACGGAAGACGCAAACCAAAACCCAGAAAGCCTAAATGAACTTCCATTCGCAGACGACCAGTGTCTTATCCATTCAAACCAAAAAAGCCTAAAAAATCACACTACCGAATTGAACTACAGCTGTGAGAAAATTAACATGAAAATAAGCACATCAAAAACAGAACTTATGAAAGTGAGTCGAAACCGTAGTCACATGAACATCCATGTCAATAACAAACAACTGAAACAAGCGAAGGAGTTTAAATATCTTGGCAGTACTTTTTTTCTGAAAACGGGTCCATAGACAGAGGAACAGAAATGCGGACTCGAAAAGCCAACGCTGTCACCTACCAGCTCGCACCCCTCCTATCCCATCCAAACATCTCCAAGGACACAAAGAGACAGCTTATCACCTCAATATTCATACCAACATTATGTTATCAGTGCCAGACCTGAACATTAAGTAAAACCCATGAAAGCAAAATCACTGCATGCGAATTGAAATGTCTCCGCAAAACCCTTAACATCACAAGACGAGACAGGCAGAGAAATGAAGAAGTGAGAACAGCTATCGGCATTGAGTCCTGTCTGCTTTACATAGAAAGACAGAGAATAAAATGGTTTGGCCACCTGTATGTCACCTGGTCAACCAGCCTGGAGAGCCTACAACACCAAGCACTCAGACTATAAAGGAAGAGGAAGGCCACTCAAAAGGCGGATCGAGGGTGTCAAGGAAACCCTGTAAAAACTTAATACACGTATCACAACTGAAAGAGCTGCCGAGCTGACCCACAATAGAAAACTGCATCTCCCCTCGACGCTTAACAGCAACAGAGGATGAAAAAGTAAAAGTAAAGTAAGGTAACTGATCTAATCGAAAGCTTTTTTTCCACTCGACTCCCTAGATGGAACAAGTAGGTAAAGTACTGATCTAACCTGGGGATTCGGAAGGGAAGCAGTTTGCCACTT